TCCAATCCCAGGCGGCAGACTTCTACGACACAGGTATTCAAAAGTTGGTCCCACGGTATGACAAATGTCTCAATTCCGGTGGCGAATATGTTGAAAAATAGCTGGACACTTGCTGTATCTGTTGCAATAAACATTTCCATGAAATTGTGTTTTGTTTCTGTAAACGGCCCCAGGGAAACTTACTTTGAGGACGCGCCTCGTATTATAGCTTGTGCGAAATATTAGACTGGACAGAGGTCCTTAGAATAGAGTCTCTATCCAGCCCGTAAACTCGTTAAGAAATTCATTGCCTTTTATGAAACCAGGAGGTTCATTGCCTTGTTTCATGTCCACGCTGAACATCAGCTTGCAGTGTTTGCCAAAACTCTGGATAATTTTCAACATTCGATCCGTCTGCGAAAATCCAAGGACAAGTTTTGCTGTTAAGTATCAGCCATAAATCGAAACGTACTGCAGTGATTTCAACGCGCGGCAGCGCTGCGTGGACGGTGCATTGGTGATCCAGGAACATTGTTATTCCCCTCACGGGTCCCCCTCCCCATTCTCTTTTTTATTTCACATGCTGTGTACGTGAAGCAGCTTCTGGTCTTGTCTACGATACTGAAGGCGAGCGAGTACACACACCATACAAACAAAACACTGATGTTCTTCTGTGAATTTCAATTTCGATTCCCTGGTACTGCAGTACGCTATTTGTCAGAGTTCCTTATTTACTATGTAACAAGAAATGAAGTGGGCGACGTAATGAGGCCTGCTTTACTTTAAGACCGGGGTTCAATTCTCGGTAGGGGTAGCAAACTAGTTCTAGGGTCTTTCCACCTCCGTATTCAGTAAGTACCAGGAACTCTTTCCACCGACAGGGTAGTAAGGACATTGAATCTGTCAACTCATCGCTCTCTAGTGCGGAGGATAAGGTGGAGCTATACCTCCACACCACCATACATGAAACATCAATAACTATGCATTTTCCTGGAAAAAGGACCTAAGATAATAATTATATATATCTATGACCTAAACTAATCATTGCCATTTTTACTTGGTATTATGAAATGTTTGTAGCGAATAAGCGTCTTTAAATGACCAGAGGTTACACAAATAAATATGAGTTTATGTTGAGTTTTAGAATTAGGGTTTGTGCCGTTTCGAAAATCTGATGTGTTGGAATGAACCGACTGTATTTGTGATGGGAACGTGCGAATGTGATTTCATTTTTCTTCGTCGGTTTAAATTTGTTGGTCGTAAAGTAGAAAAAGATATAAATGAAAATAAAAGAGGCTTAACGCAAAAAAAAAAAAACACACACTTCACAGATAAAATAGAAAATCATGAAACAGGTAGGCAGCAGCAGACCCATTATGTCAATCCTACCTTCCATGTTTTGGCGCCATTTGGCGTCTAGACATACAGTCTTCCTCTTAGACGTGTTTGTTTGTTTGTTATGTTCCAGTCCTACAGTTCTTTTCCAGCGTTCCTTCTAGTTAAAATTCTCGCCTTTTAATGATTATCATGTGCCTCATGCTATGAAGGAGATATCGAAGAAGAACAAGAAAGAGACGGATGAAGAGACAGAGAGTAGTTTCAGGAGGCAGGAGACATTTCAGTAATGAGAACTTGATGGGAAAGAAATGTAGCATGCGTGAAGAAGATCAGAAATGTAAGACTTGAGGTTCTCACAGCGGTGAGTATGAAGATTTCTGTCTTCTGGGTTGTTGCGCTGTGTAGTCTGG